GTTTGGCAATCCTACTTCCGTAGTGATACTGCCTCGGAAACCCAAAGGTGGGGTCGCTATGAGTCGGGGCCGACTCGACGGCAAATAACAACAACAACAGCAACAACCTTACTCTTAGGCCGCTTCTGGTCCCAGTACATCAGTTGAGCACACGATGGAACGTAAACATGTCAACCGGCCACCATTCCTGATGTCCTCGAAGCGGATTAGCATAAATGCCTACCAGACGCTTTTGGGAAGCTGGGTGAGTGGGTCTGCCCAGGTGGAGTAGGGTGCCCGAGGACAGAAATATATGGTGATGGGAAGGGAAGCTTCTCCTGTCTCTACAGACAGCTCAAACCCTTATTGCCTTCTGGAAACTCTGAGTGAGCCTGGATCTCATCTTTTTTTCCCAAGGGATCTGACATCCACTCACTCTTATTTCTCGAAGGCAGTGCTTCCCAAACTTGAGATCACATTGTAATCACCTGGAGGGCTTGTTAAAACACAGATCACTGGGCTAGGAGCTTCTGATTCAGTAGGACTGGGGCAGAGCCTGAGAGTTTGCATTTCTAACAAGTTCCCAGGTGATCCAACCATGCTGTTGCAGGGACCGCACTTTGACAACCACTGTGCTAAGTAAGGACCATCACCTCCAGGCATCCCACTCTACTTTCCCAGGAGAAACCCTTCCTCCATCCTCTCTTTGCTTTGTCTTGGGGTGAGAGGTAGCTGGTAGAATAGGCACATTGTTCATCCCTGGTTGAGCAAGGCCTTCTCCTGTTTCACTTCTTTATTGCCTCTGTCCTCTCCCACTTTTGCCCTCTTGCCCCTCTTTCAAGACAGCCATCCTCATGTATGTAACCTTTAGTTTGTTAGTGTTCACGTGCAATAGGAAAATTCTTGTATTTACAATGTGCGTACCTTCTTCATTGCAGTTATACCTCATTCTGTTTCTAAATCCCTACCTTCAGTTTTTAAAGCAACTTTCCTTAGAGTCTGATATTCATACAGAAATATGCATGAATCTTAAGTGAACAGCTTCAAAAATTGTCACAAAGAGGACTTACCTGTGTAACAACCACCCAGAACATTCAATGGCATATTCCAGAACCCCAGGAACCCCTCATGCCCATCCCCCAGGCAGGTAGTTCCTATCCTGATTTCTAGTGGCATACTTTTTTTTTTTAGGATTTGGGTGAAGATTTACAGAGTAAATTCATTTTTCATACAGCAGTTCACATATACTTTGTCTCATGTCATTGACCAAAATTTACAATGCAGCAGCTCCCCTCCCACTTCCTCCCCATAGTTAC